TTTTTTTTTTTTTTTTTTTGGAGATGGGGGAGGGGGAATGAAGCGTGTGCCTGGGGAAACCACCAGAGAATAAAATGAGAAAATCCTGCCCATGAACTCTTGGAAAGGGATTGCACCATAACGGCTAATGCTATGGCATTTAATCTCCTCTGACTGCCCTCTAACTGCATGCATCAGGCAGTATTTTAACAGCTCCGCAGACAAATGGGCTTAAATGCCCCCTTCTGCATAAAGCAGAAGTTGAAGGCTCCCCTGAACCTCCTGCCTGCCTTCCCCTTGCAGATATGGTCAGTGGTGTAGGTTTTCGCTGCACTTACTCCAACCCTGATCACTCATGTAATTAGATCAGGCTGCCATGGCAACGGGCAGTGTTCCTCCTCCATTCAGGTGGGTTTGTTTTGTGCCTTGGACGATTCCAAGTGTTTTATGCACAGTGTTTGTGCTGCCCAAGCCAGACGAGAGACTTCACTATTTCAATTGCGTCTTCTTTTGGACGGGAGACACTGAATGAGGCTTCTCCATACTCTTCTAAAGGAGACCAACAAGCTGTTCTGACTGGGTGCAGTATGTAAATGCCTCTCCCAGACGGTGAAAGGAGCCCGACAATCCTGCTGGTGTTTATTGTGAACAGATCAACAAGTATTTGGTACTTGTTAGAAACCTTTCAGAGCTGACTAAAGCAACATTTCTTTTGCCTTCTGGTGCCATTGGCCTGGCAGGCACTTAACCCTTTCAAGTGTGAAAGTGCTCATCCTTTAGAACCTAAGTTGCCAGTAGTCATGACTAGCTTTCTAAAGGGTTTATTCAGTGGAAGTACTTTATTTGGGAAGGCTATCCCCATTGTCACATTTTAAAACTTTACAGTCATCATAATAGCAAAAAAAGGGGCTGACTGACAGGCAGCCATTCTGAATGTAGTCATTCTTCATGTGAATCTTTTAGCCATGATCTTTAATCTGAGGTAGTAAATTAAAAGGTTTTTTGTCTCAGGAAAGAGATGATATAGGCCTGTAGCTGGTAGACTGATAATGTGTGGTGCTTTTGCACAATCAACAACTTCTGCTCTATTTTGGGATATAACTTAATGAGCGTTTAATAATTTAAAGAGCAGCAGTCTACTCTTTGCATTAGGGCACCACCTTATTAGGCCCGTTAAGCAAAGAAAAATAATACTGTTACAAAAAGAAAAGAAAATTAGCTTTGGTTGTGGAAGCTCAGTGTTGCTCAGGCAGTCCAAATAAAGGGAAGTATTTTAGTAACCCTGATATTTGAAAGTAAAAATAATTGAAATCATGCCTTGATTTAGTTGTGACCCTGCCACCAGCCCCCTAGCTAACTTGGGAGATCATTTTCTCCTTGGGGCCAGGATTGAAAGAGCTACCTTCTTGGGGGTTGGGGGTGGGGTTACCAGTTTCTACTAGTGAGTTTATGTGTTTGGTAACTGGATTGTGGCCTGCTCAGATCAAGCACTGCAGTGGTTAAAACAAGGTACTGTTATTCCTAGGAGGTAAACAGATGGGAAGCAAGGATATAAAATAAGACACAGAGTGTAAGTTTTACACAACACCTTGGAGGTCCTGGATGATATTTTGCAACTTACAGAAAATCGTTTTTACTTGCCCTAAAATGTGAACATATATTTTTGAGTGCACAGATTCATGCTAAAATAAGGATCAGAAATGTACTTGTTTGGGAACTGTGAAAGTTAATATTTTCCTCTCTGGATTTCGTTTTAAGAGGGTTTGGTAAACAGATGTGATACTTTATCAGAAATATTATAAATCGGCTGCAGGGCTTCTGAGTTGTCTTTTACTAGAGAAAGGTTCAAGGAAAACTCTTTAGCCATCAGATTATACGTCAAATGCCTGTAGATGGCCCTACATTTCAACATACCTTACTCGGTTGTCTGGGAGTCCTGGGAAAGGTCAGCCTCAAGAGATGATTAAAATGTTAGTGAACACATTTCTGTGACTCCTGTTTTGTTGTCATTACAGAGTTTAAGGACTCACATTCTTTTTGTATAATGTGCCTTTATTTTTTTTTCCATTCTGAAATGTCAAGTGGATTTTACTTTGGCACTTAGCTTCAATGACAGTGTCGGATGACTAACACATTGTGACACCAGCTCCTTTTGTTTCTTCATAGAATTTAGTCAATAAACATACTTTACTAAAACCCTGAAATTAGGTAAATCTACTAGTGAAGGTTAATTCTCTAAACTATAATTGTTTGAAAGTAATAACATAGTGTAGGCTCTGAAGAGCTTAAATACCTGCATATGTGAAATGACATAGTGCAGAAGGATAGAAAATCATTTTTAGTGGGGAGATAGTTTTATTTCCATTGCTTTATGTTTTCAGAATAACTAAATAATTTGAATCTTTGGCTTCTGTGAGAGATTTAAATATGTACAGTTTAATTGCTTCAAAGAAAGATTTAGTTCCGGTTATACTTCCAGTTATCAGAAGCAGGCCCTCCTTATTTTGTTAAAAGCATTGAAAATAATAAATCACCTAAAAAATCACAATAGAGAGAATAATTTCTGTTCTAGGGCATTACGTACAGGACTGCCACCCCCTTTTTTAAAGAATGAGGTTGGAAAGTAATTGAAGTTATGCTGTTCAAATTTTAGATTCATTAAATTCAGTTTAATAAAATATTCATTCAAAAATTCTTTAAGAGATGATATAATGAGTATACAGAGTGCTAGTTTTAGAGACTATTTTTAAATGTTGGCTGAAAGAGTTGTAATTGGATCAAGGTTTTAAAAATACATATAAATGCTTAAAATTACAGAAGTAATAAAAAGATTTAGGTAGCCCTGACCAGATACCTCAGTTGGTTAGAGTGCCGTCCCTATACACCAGGGTTCAGGTTTGATCCCGGTAAGGGCACATACAAGAATCAACCAATGAATGCATAAATAAGTGGAACCAAAAATCCACGTTTCTCTCTTTCTCTCCCTTCCTCTTTATCTAAAATCAGTCAATAATTAAAAATTTTAAAAAAGATTTCAGTAAATAATCTTTATTTGTGGAAACAGTTCTTTAAAATCTTTTTTATTTCATAATTTATATATTTTTGTCTTTATCAGTGTATATATTTTATAATCCTTACAAATCTGAACTTTTCAGGCTAATGTACAATAAATATTTGTACTATGTGTTATCACAAATAAACTAAAACATGTTTAGAAATGTTACAGACAAGAAAGCAACGAGCGTTATATTTTCTTTGACATGTTTGATGTTAGCAGAAATGTTTCATTGATTTTTCTATAACTTTTAATGCATCCCATTTGTGGAGTAATGAAAATGCAATGATAATTGCCGTAATGAAAGCAAAAATTATATCCTACCTGAAAATTACTTTTCAGAAAATTCATTGTAGTGTAATCAGAGTTTGAGACTTAAGGGGGCAGAGGCTGTCCTGATGATGGTGTTTTGATTCAGGCTAAGAGGAACTCTTTTTTTCCACTTAGGTGCTCTTTAACATGACATGTTTACGGGGAGTCATTGAGCAGAAGTTTTTAATGATAGTTATCCCTACTGCTGACCTATAAGCATTTATGCTTCTAGCATTCAAAGAAAGTATATATTTTTTGTCACTGTATATGGCAGATTTTCTTTCATTGCATCCTTAACTTTGGCCTACTCGCTCCGAAGTATTTATATTATCTCCTGTGTGTACGTTAGTTAGATACTCTCTTTATTGACTAGCACAGATCAATATTATTTAGGCCACCTTTCTTAGTAATCTTCCACTATTAGTGGTATTGTGTTATGTTGCTCTGCTGTGCTTTTTAAATATTAAGTATTACGTTTTTAGTGTATATGTATTGTATAAGGCAGTCTGCAGGTTATTTTCTTGTATATCGTGTGCATTTTGCAGTGAATCCATTCTTCCTTGCTCTTGTGTATTGTGTTTCTTCCCTTTAAGGGAATACAGCAAGCGATGTTACCTCTCTTAGTTACTATAACTGGTGTAGCAACACAAATACTTTTGAAATAAGTAGGCTTATCAACGAGAGCGTAAATTAATATTTTACAGCATTTGCATCATGTTTGACTGTTCTCTGTACTTCAGCAGAATGGGTGGAGGCTGTAATTTGGACTCTATAAAACCTTATCTGCCAGGTGATATGTAAATAGGATTGTGTGCACACACATCCATGTACAGGCAGACACCCTCTCCGCTATTAGCTCAGAAAGCAAGTGCTGCCTGCAAGTCTTGTTAGCTGCAGTTTGTTAGAAAGTGATTATCCAGTATTCTGATGCTTCATTTGATGTTACTAGATAAAATCAAGACTCCTCCCCTTACTACAAGGACTGTGCAAGAGTAAATAGAATTTTGTGAGCGTCTATTTAACTTGGCCACTGTTTAAATTTGTATCTCAACAAGCTTTTTAGTAGAGGGATAGTATCTTCAAAGATGTTATAGTCTAGAACAGCTTACATTGTTTTTCTGTATGCACAGATTACACATGGTTAAAACCAAGGACTAGAAACCTAACTTTTGATGATCAGTCCCAGGCATGCAATAATAGATGCTTAAATAAATACTTGATGAATGGATTAGTTAGAAGTAAGAATGCTTTGGCTACTGTTCATTACTTTGAAAAGTGTTGGAAAGCGATTGAAATTATTTTCCTTTCCAGCTGGGTTGTGCTCTTAAAAATAGTGAGTGCGTATGGATGAAAATAATCGTGACTGCTGAGATGTGCTGCCATGTACCTAAGGATAATTGGCTCACTTACCTGTGTACAGATTATTCACATTGGAGATCACATTCACGGCTCCAGAACAGTTTCTTTCTGACACCCAATATAACCTGGGCTTTCTCTTTCCTACTGTTACCTGGCATGGGCTTAGGAAGCCCAAACTAGATTTAAAATCAGCCTAAACAAATGTGCATATCAGCTCCAGTAATCAGAGACTGGAAATCAGTCCAGCAATGACAAGTTTGGGAATATTTAATAATAACTATGCTACTGATTCTATATAATGTGGACAACTGGGAATTAACCAGTATTAAAAATATTATTTTAATAAATGGGGCTGAAAACTATGTTAGCAGATCAAGTCCTCAACTTGTTCCATTTCTATGCATAGGTCTTTACCTCACAAAAACTACAAGCACCAAGCTCCCTGATGGAAAGGTATATGGAAGATTCATTCATCCCCTCTTTCATTCATCCATTCACACATTCACTCATTCATCATACAGTAGAAAATTTTTACGTAACCATGTGCAAGGCATTGTGGTAAAATGAAAACCAAATAGACATACATTTAATAATGAAATGCTTTAAAGTTGAGTGGAAAGTCTAGTGACTGTGCATACTTCAAAAATTTTTTCTGCATTTGATACTTTTTTCTATTCCATTAGACTGGTATGCTAATAACTGTGCTTTTCCATGATTGCCCCTTAAGTTGCATGTTGATAGTAACATATGCCACATTAGAATTAGACTTTGGCTCAATTACTATTCAGTTCATGTTCATTTTCACCTGATATTCTTGTGATTACCAGCATGTGTTGATCAGATGCTTGGTTAGAATCATTAGAGAAAAGAGTGACAGGAGTTGGCTCAAACAGGGAGACCAAGCTCTCAGTTTGATTGAGGGGATGACCTTTCTGTGTGTTGGCCTCCCTCCGAGGTCCCGTTGAGTAAAACCAGACCTGCCTTTTGAGCTGGCTGGTATCCTTGTAAGCCTCATAAAACAAAATGCAAAATTTGATGTCCTTGAAAGTGAAGATTTCAGTGCATAGACATTCTAAGTGGAATTATTTCTTAAAGCAGTTTGTTCTTCTTTTTTCATTTTGATTTCCTCTCCTGCACTTCCTGGACCATTGCAGGAGCATCGTGCAGCAAGTCACCAAGGCCGTCCGTTCAAACTGCAGCTTTGTCTGTCATCCTTGTACAGCAGTGTCCTCCTGCACGGCCACTGCAGGGACGTGCACCACATATCAGGTGAGGTTTTTGCCATGCTCTCTAGCTCCCACCCGAGGATAAAGTCTGACCTGGAAAAACCGCCTACTAGCCGTGCCTTAGCGCTTCGTGGACTGTTTATATAATTGTCTTTGCAAACCATATTGTGTCAGAAATTGCCAAGGGAGTTTTTGTAAAACTTGGGTTAAAGCATCTCCTTTTTGGTTTCATTTAATTTGGCTAATGAAGACCTCAACATTTGACTTTGTGATGACTGCTTATTGCCTGTTGAGCTTGAGCCTGATAGTTTCCATTGTCACCTTTACTTAATGCAATGAGAACGCACAGCTTTCATATTTTTAGTTTTTTTGTTGTGGAGTGACACATGTGTAAGGAGACAGAGGCCTGTTTGTTCAGTAGCAACTGGTATTTGTTGAATCTTGAATTTCTCTGTGTCTGTTTGGATTTTACAACTTCCTGATTTCCTCACGTACAGTAAATTTTTCTGGCCTGGAAAGTCATACAGACACGGGGTGTATGCAGGGTTGATGACTCATGCTTCTCTGTTGAAGAGAGGACAAGAGCATACTGACTAAAGGAAGTCAGGAGAGATGGAAGTTAGACACAAGTTGGGGCAATGAGGGTTTGGGAACACTGGTGTACGCAACCAAAGGCAATTGTGAAATAGATTCCCTCTTTCTATTTGCCTTGGGAGCAGTCCTGCTGGAAGCCATAGAAATAGACTAGTTCAGAGGTTCCTAAGCCTGGCTGGGCAACATAATTACCTGGGAGCTTAAAAAAATAGAATTTGGAACTCAACCCTAGACTATTGAATCAAAACGAACCTTAAAGGTCTCTTGGAATCATATTGATGCTCCACAGGTTTGGGAACTGCTGGGTTGGGTGGTCTCCACGCAGCTCTTCCCAAATCTTGTTCTACGTCTGTATTTGGTGAGATGCAAAGTCTACTTTTTGCCAAACCTCACATATAAAAATACACATTTTCATATAATTTGTTATGAAGTGGATATTTGCTTTACCAAATGTTCATCTTGAAAATGATTCTCCAGTTTTCTTTAAATAAAGAGCTCCCTCTCTTTACCTAAGATCCAGCTTTTAAGTTACATATAAATTCTGTGGCATCTACGATAAGAGCATGGGGCCCTGGGACTAGCCTGTCTGGATTTACATCTAGAGCTCCCACTGTGATGTTGGGCCATTCTATAACTTTTCAATGCTTCAGTGTCTTTGTGTTGAAAATGGAGATTAAACTAGAACTTTCTCCTAGGGCTGCTGTGAGTATGGAATGAAATAATATACATATACGGGGTAGGATATTACCTGGCGTACGGTTTGCGATCCATGAACGTAAGCTATCATTGTGATCAAGTAACTTACATCTTGACAGGGTAATTTTAATATTCTTGTATTGTGATGGTTGCTTCTGGACCATAGAGGGTATATCTGTACCTTGGTCTTTGGCCCAATCCTGCAGACATTTGCAGCTCTGCAAAACAAATGAGACTTTTATTTGTTTTTCTGAATTTTGTGTTCGTCCAACTCTCTTACCGTGAGAGGGTATATGTGTATTGTTTCTATATTGTTGTAAGATGTACTGATGAATTGCGTGCATAAAATAAGTTATTTGTGGTCAAAACAAGCAAAAACCTGAGTGACTGAAATACTGTGCCTCAGAAAGGACTGTCAGAGTAGTCTCTGTTGGGTGAGTGGGGGGCCAGGGCAGAGGAGGGAGGAAGTTGTCACAAACATTATATCCTTGTGGAATTTGGAACTGGGTACTTTACTTTTTATTGACTGTGGGTTAGGGAGATATTCTGTGAAAGGAAATAGAATAACCCCGGAGGTACATGCAAAGGTAAGCCTCTTAAAGTCTGTGTCAGCTGACTGGAAAACGGTGAGATGCCTTACTGCCACTTTATCTCTTAGGGGTGTTACCTGTTTTAGCAATTATATGCTAGGCAGAAAATCCTCACATTTAAGTTTTTTGGGGGAAGTAGTTTAATTGAATATGTGGTTAATACATATGCAATTTTTTAAAAACCTGTGGTGTTTAAAAGAGAATTTCATTGTGAAAATACAGGCCTCAGAAAGTCATATCTCTTGGTCAATATGTGCAAGCTTATTGAGATGAGACTGAGGTTTTGTAGTATATTAAGCAAGTAAGTCTGAGTGTCTTACAAATACTCATATTGTATTACTGCCAAATAGTGCAGAGTCACCTTGAATTTTAAGCATCTGACATTTTCTGTGATTGCATTTAAAGGAAGCTAATAAGCATTATTTAAACATTTTGCATAAATAATGGCTTCAGTAGAGTCCTCACAATTGATGGCTGAACGTGGGCAGGGAAATATGTCATTCATCTTGTACTCTGTTATATTCATTAAAGTTTCTTTTTAAAAATATTAAAACCTAGATTATAATTATTCCCGGTTCTAGTTATTTTGTAAATAAGATAGAGTTATAGCAAATTTATGACCTACCTTGTTCACAGGCACTCTCTATGTAAAGAAATCATTCATTCATTTATTCACTGTGTATTTTTCAAACGACTACACAGTGCTGTGGGAATGAAAGTGAGTAGAGCCACCCCAAAGAGGTTATGCTGTATGCGTTCTCTGGGATCAGGTAGGGGAAAGAAGAAATACTCGGAAAACTGAGACAAAGCAGAATGGGTGTGTTGTGCTTACTGGGGTACGTTCTAACACAGAAGGAATTCAGAAGAATGATGCCCAGTAGGATTATGAGGAAAGACCGAGGAGGAGGGATCATTTGAGTTCAACTCTGAAGGCTGGTTAGCATTCCTGTGGGTGGAGCTGGATGGAGCTGGAGGATGACCCTTGGGGTGGCTGGGATCTGACAAGGAAGGGTATGGCGTGTAACCGACAAGGCTGTTTTGGCTGAAGCGCGGGTGCTGGTGGACATCTGAGTTGCTGGAGTCCGGCAGACAGTAGAGGGTGTGGGAATAAAATTGCTGACAGGTCAGGTCTGGAGATAAATTTGGAGAAGTCATTGGCATAAAAGTGATCTTTGAAATTGGGCTTTGGGTTTTCGTGTCTGGCAGATAGTTTGACAGGCAGGAGGGGATGACTGTACTTCAGGAGTGACATCAGCTGGCGTAAAATACGCAGAGAGAAGGTAAGAGGCAGTGGAGAGGAGCTGGAATGTTGGTGGGGCACAGCCTTTGCGTGTGCCCTCTTTAAGACCTGGGGTGGAGGGAGAAGTGGGGATGATGCATGGGTGGGTAACGGGGGTCTGCCCTCGAAGCTCAGGCACTGTGGAGACTCAGCTCAATGAAATCTTGTTGAAACCTTTATTCCTTTAAGACCTTTAAAAAAACAGGAACTTGAGCTAATTTTAGCTAAACCTAATATGTGTCTGTATGAAAATGAATGCTGCTTTTGAAATCAGTGCATGCAGTATCTCTTTTCATTTAAACAAACGATCCTTCTATTTTCCTCTAAACAGTTTTATTAAGAAGATTTTTGGTGAAGCCCTGTACATAGTAACAGCAATTCCAGCATTTCCTTTGATCTTCTCCACTGGTGATTTATTCGTCTCACGTCTCACGTGATATGGGTAAATCACCTTGTGCCACCTACTTGACTCTGGAGCAGTTGTTCATTTTTGTGGCAATTCATTTATTATACTTTGATAAATCACATTAATATGGATGTGTTTTATAACTTTAGAGGCTTTTCCAGAGGCTTTATGAGGACTCTTTTAAATGTGACACACACACACACACACACACACACACACACAAACCACAGCTTTCTGAACAATTTGGCTTCCCATTTATACTTTATAGAGAGAAACAAAAATAAATGTAGGATTAGTGAGCCTTGACTCTGGGGTGGGTGAAAGATCCTTAAAGGACTTGGCTCAAAATGAAGGTGAAGGCTGGAAGTTATCTGGTTACATTGCTGTTAGTGGGCAGTCTGTTTTAATATAATTAGAGAAAATTTGGGGATTATTTAAGATTTTTTTTTTAACTGAGTCTAGATGGACTGCCTGTGTTTCCCTAAATGGCTCAGAATGAGACAGTGATCTACCTACCTTTCATAAAAGACAGGGAGTTAGGACAGGAGTGGGAGGGATGGAGAAAATTCCAGGGGCAGATCACCCTGTCTGCAAATATTTAATAAGCATCTAATGTGTGAGAGGCTTTATGCCAGCTAGGCCCTAAAGGAAATTCAGAGATGATCAACAGTTCTCATTGTGCATTAAATCATTTAATCCTACTGTGGTCCTCTGAGGTAGGCACTATTATTATCTCCACTTCACAGACAGGGAAACTGAGGCACAGAGACAGTAAGTGACTTGCTCAAGGTTGACCAGCTCTTCAGTGGCAACGTCACGCTTGGATCCCAGTCTTTACTCTTAATTGCTACCATGCATTGTATCTCAAGGCCTAAGCCCTGTCCATAAGAAGCTTACAGTTGAGTCCAGAAGGCAAGGTGTGTGCAGGAGTAATATTTAAACAGCTGTAACAGAGGCACAGAATACCCTCAGAGGTCGAGATCAGGGAAGGGCTCGTGGGTGATGAGCCTTCCTTTTCGGTGCTTGCCTGTCTGTACAGAAGCACACACAGGCTGCCTGTGTGATGTTCTCGTTCACTCTTTCTCGTATTCCTACGCATTTTCAATAATTATTAATTGCAGAAAATGATGACAGTGGCAATATGCTTATCTGTGTTTGGGCTGCAAATGTTGTTTGGCATCAGGAGTCCCGGTGAGACGATGAACTTTTGACTCTTCAAAGGACTTCACTGGGTCATTGCTCAGCTTGCAAGATTTGGCAGATAGGAACTATTTATCTCTCCAGTTAGATGGGCGGAGGGGTGGCACTAAATGCAAGCTCGAAGAACAAAATGCGCGTGAAAGGAGGTCACGCTTCAGTCGTGGTGGCTATCAGGCAGCTCAGATCTCCTGTCCCCCCCTGTGACTACCCCTCTCAGTCTCTCATTTTCTCCCTTTCTCTGGACCAGTGGGTGAATCTTAACCAACTCACGTCAGAAG